CCCAGAAAGCTCCCAAGAGGGTATCCTCATCCTCCTTGTCCGTCGTCTCCTCAGCCTCCTCTTCGTCCGCCACGTGTTCACCGAAGGGCTTCCACAACGGCTGGGGGAACGCATGATCCGATAGCGTGGCCAAACTTTGCCCAAGTGGTTGGCCACATAGGCTTATCCCAGAAGGCAGGGAGCGGCGGTGATTCGCCGTAGGCATCTTCATTGAGCCTGCATCTACAATTTTGTACATACATAGATGTTTGTATCCATATATATATATATACACACAAAAAATGTATGAACATACGTTACTATGTCTCGCTCACTCTCGCTTAATCTCTCTATATATATATATCTATATAGATACACACATTTCCCTTCCTATATGTTATAAGCCCAGGCGGGGGGACACTCCCCCCCAAAAATATCCTGGCGAAGGACCCAACCATATGCAATTGTGAATACTGCAATTGTGAATATCTTCTCGGTGGAGCCCCCTACGGGGCCACGGAACGTACGAGGGGTGTGCCGAAATGGGTGTGCGGGACGCATGCGGGCACACCCACTGGGGCCTTCGGTGAAGCTCCCTATGGGGCCACGAAGCGTGTGAGCGGTGTGCCGAAATGGGTGTGCGGGACGCATGCGGGCACACCCACTGGGACCTTCGGCGGAGCTCCCTATGGGGCCACGGAACGCGTGAAGGGCGTGCCGAAATGGGTGTGGCTGACGCATGCGGGCGCGGGCACTGGGGCCTTCGGCGGAGCTCCCTATGGGGCCACGAAACGTGTGAAGGGTGTGCCGACATGGGCGTGGCTGACGCATGCGGGCGCGGGCACTGGGGCCTTCGGCGGAGCTCCCTATGGGGCCACGAAACGTGTGAGGGGTGTGCCGAAATGGGTGTGCGGGACGCATGCGGGCACACCCAGTGGGACCTTTGGCGGAGCTCCCTATGGGGCCACGGAGCGCGTGAGGGGCGTGCCGAAATGAGTGTGGCTGACGCATGTGGGCGCGGGCACTGGGGCCTTCGGCGGAGCTCCCTATGGGGCCACGAAACGTGTGAGGGGTGTGCCGAAATGGGTGTGGCTGACGCATGCGGGCGCGGGCACTGGGGCCTTCGGTGGAGCTCCTATGGAGCCACGAAACGTGTGAGGGGTGTGCCGTGGGGGCCTTCGGTGGAGTGGAGCCACGAAACGTGTGAGGGGTGTGCCGAAATGGGTGTGGGTGACGCATGCGGGCGCGGGCACTGGGGCCTTCGGTGGAGCTCCCTATGGAGCCACGAAACGTGTGAGGGGTGTGCCGAAATGGGTGTGGGTGACGCATGCGGGCGCGGGCACTGGGGCCTTCGGTGGAGCTCCCTATGGAGCCACGAAACGTGTGAGGGGTGTGCCGAAATGGGTGTGGGTGACGCATGCGGGCGCGGGCACTGGGGCCTTCGGTGGAGCTCCCTATGGAGCCACGAAACGTGTGAGGGGTGTGCCGAAATGGGTGTGGGTGACGCATGCGGGCGCGGGCACTGGGGCCTTCGGTGGAGCTCCCTATGGAGCCACGAAACGTGTGAGGGGTGTGCCGAAATGGGTGTGGGTGACGCATGCGGGCGCGGGCACTGGGGCCTTCGGTGGAGCTCCCTATGGAGCCACGAAACGTGTGAGGGGTGTGCCCGCAACTGGGGCCTTCGGTGGATGGGTGTGGGTGACGCATGCGGGCGCGGGCACTGGGGCCTTCGGTGGAGCTCCCTATGGAGCCACGAAACGTGTGAGGGGTGTGCCGAAATGGGTGTGGGTGACGCATGCGGGCGCGGGCACTGGGGCCTTCGGTGGAGCTCCCTATGGAGCCACGAAGCTGTCGTGTGGGTGACGCATCTGGGGCCTTGGAGCCTATGGAGCCCGAAACGTGTGAGGGGTGTGCCGAAATGGGTGGGTGACGCATGCGGGCGCGGGCACTGGGGCCTTCGGTGGAGCTCCCTATGGAGCCACGAAGCGTGTGAGGGGTGTGCCGAAATGGGTGTGGGTGACGCATGCGGGCGCGGGCACTGGGGCCTTCGGTGGAGCTCCCTATGGAGCCACGAAACGTGTGAGGGGTGTGCCGAAATGGGTGTGGCTGACGCATGCGGGCGCGGGCACGAGGGAGGAGGGGGAAGAGGAGGAGAGGAGAGGAGAGGAGAGGAACGCGGGGCACCGTCTCTTCAAAACGAGGACCCAACACCACAGGATGGTTGGGAAAAACTGGACTCCTGGGATCTGAGGCTTTGGGACCCTCTGGACGGGCCTCGAAGCGGCCCCCAGAACCTTCCCAAGCCTTCCCAGCACACCTAGGACCTAGGGCGATCAGGGGGGTCATCGGAGACGTCCCAGAGACCCCCAAGACAGAGCAAGAGCGCTACAGGAGTGACCGACGTGACCTCAGAATGGCCCAAGAGGCCTCCAGGACGGCCCCAAAGGCCTCAAAAAGCCTCCAAGAGCACTCCCAAGAAGGCTCCAGAGGCAAAACTGATTGATTTTCTGCGGGTGTTTGGTGATCTTTGGGGTTACCCTCTTTTCGGCTTCCCGACGCTCTTTTTCGGGCGTCCGAAGCCGCCTGGGAGGCTCCCAAATCGCCCCACGACCATCCGAAAAGGCTTCCAGGCAGTCCAAGAGAGCCCCAAAACGGCACAACAGGGGTCAACGATGGCCCTAAGAGAGCCCCATGGCGGCCCAAGACGGCCCCAAGACACCCTCCGAAGCATTCCAAATCGTGACCCGGTCGTTCAGGGAGACCGCGGTGGGAGGCAGGTTGGCCCGAGGAAGCCCCCAGAACCTCCAGAACACGCCCAGAAGGCCTCCAGAAGGCCTTAGGAAAGCCTGAACATTTTGTGAGGCCCCCAGAGGCTCTCCACGGAGGAGCCTCCGCAAAAAGAGCTGAGGAGGATATGGGAAAATGCGCAGGGTATGACGACAACGGAGAAAAAGAAGCATGGAGGAAGGATAACGAACAACATCATTTTAGCGGCGATGGTGGAAAAGGCAACAAGGAGTTATCGCTAAATTGTCGGCTTGACCTTCCTGCCATTCCGCCTGCATACCAAACTTCAAGGACCAAGGTGCATGACGCGAAGCGTCACTGCAGTCTTGTATATACATATGTGTATATATATATATATACACGACAACCCTGCGGGTGATAAGGAGGTTGGGGGGGAGGGGGCCAGCAATGGGCAGCAGTGGCGATTGTTGTTCTGACGATGCCAGTGGAGCGTGTTGCGTTACCGCTCGCTCTTGAGAGCCTTGGTGTCGAGTTGTTTACGTCACCCTTCTCTCTCGGGCGCCTTGGTACCAGTCCCCCATCCCCCCCGGGAACTAATGAAATAATAAATTGTTTCGTTCATTTTGCAAGGGCTTGGGGGGCCGTTTGGGCTCGTCTTTTGGACCCCTTGGGGGGCTCTTGGGGGCCTCTTGGGGGGCCTGTTGGGGGCCTCTTGGGAGCCTTTTTGGGCTCCTTGGGGGCCTCTTGGGGCCTCCGGGGAGCTTCTTGGAGCGACCCTTAAGAGCCTGTTCCGCCAACGTTCGCACTGGGAGCTGTGTTCAGAGATTGTTGCGTTGCCGCTCGCTCTTGGCACAGCACACAGCACGGGATGTCGATGTGCCTGGCGATTTGCATTTGCAATTGCTTATCGATGTGCATGTCGATTTGTTTTTCGATCTGCATTTCGATCTGCATTTCGATTTGCATCTCACTATCGGTCTCACTATCGATCCCACGATCGATCTCACTATCGACCTTACTATCGATCTCACTCGATCGATCTCACTATCGGTCTCACTCGATCGATTTCACTGTCGATCCCACTCCCGATCGCGTTTTCGATCCCACTATCGATCCCACTATCGATATCACTCCATCGGTATCACTCCATCGATCTCACTATCGATATCACTCAATCGATCTCACTATCGACCTCACTATCGATCTCTCTATCGATCTCACTCGATCGATCTCACGATCAATCTTACTCAATCGCTCTCATCATATATCCCACGATCGCTCTCACTATCGATCCAAAAATCGATCTCACCATCGATCTCACTCGATCGATCTCACTATCGATCTCACTTTCGATTTCACAATCGATCTCACAATCGATCTCACTATCGGTCTCACTATCGTTTTCGCACCAGCGGGACATGGGGACACCAGCGGGACACTGGCGGGACACCGCGCGGCCCCGTTTGCCGGGGGGGGGAATCATTTTGTCCGGCCGCGCCTCAGCCACAGGAGCTTTCCTCTCGCCCGCCCACGCAGCTTCGCCTCGCCCGCACGCACGGCACGCACGAACACGAAACCGAAACCGATTTCCCGGTGGGGGGCTCTCCGTTCCACTTCGATCTCACCCCCCAACCTCCGATGTAGATGTATTCCTCTCTCCCTGTGTTATCCCCCCAGTACATGTTTCGCTCGCTATGTGTGTATAGATATATACACATATATGTATAGGTTTGTCGGTTCGCTTGTCTCTCTCTCTCTCTCCTTCGATCTACAGCCCCCTCTGTTGCCAGTATCTCCCACAGACCCTTCGCCAAGAAAGAAAGGGTTGACATTCATCCCTCAATTTGCGCGCGATCTCGGGCAAGATAATCCTGTGCTTTACACATGTTGGATATTTCTGTATACGAACATAAATCATGTAAACAAAATTGTGCGCCCATATGTAAGGGTGCCTGAAAACCTGCAAACGTCTGAATATGAGTACGTCGCCTCTACGCGCGGGATAACCTAGGCCGATGCACAGATAAAGAGATGAGAAGATGTGTTCTGCTGGAGGGCTCGCTTTCATGGACAGCCTGGGAGCTCGTGTGCGCGCGCGCGCGTGCTCGGCAAACCAGGCCTAAACGACTAGAACACACTCATGTGCCCGCGCCTTCTCGCCCTCTCCTGCTCAATCTACGTACCCCTCGCCTTCCTGCCACCATGGGGTTGTTGAGGAGGTTGCACTCATCTGCCTCGCCGATCTCGGGAGGGGGGGGGGGAGGGGCGGCTGCCTGGCCGTCTCTCAAGCCAGATGGGACGGAGTCGTCGAAGTCACCGATCGAGTCGTACTTGCGCCTGCGCAATGAAAGGAGGCAGAGGAGCAGGGGCAGGAGCAGTCGGAGAGGGATGGTGTGTGGGGGGGAGGACGAGCATGAGGAAGAAGAGTGGAGGAGGACGAGAACGGGCGGAGGGGAAATGGGAGGGGGGATGAGGGGATGAAGGAGAAAGAGGGGGGAGGGGTACGAGAGCGAGAGGGGGAATGACAGTGAAAGAGAGAGAGAGAGAGCGAAAGACGGACAGCGAAAGAAGGAGAGAGGGAAAGAGAGAGAGAGAGTGTGAGAGAGAGAGAGAGAAAGAGAGACAGGGAAAAAAAAGAGAGAGAGAGAGAAAGATAAAGAGAGAGCGAGAAAGAGTGAGGACAAACACATGTGAATGAGAACAACAGGAAGGGCGACAGAGGAAGAGGGAGAGCCATTATGGCAAACGTAGAGACGAACAGTGGAGCACCCCTGCGAGAGGGTAAGGAGACGGGGAAGGGGAATTCTGAGAGCGGAGGGAGTCCTCCACCGTCTACGGCAGCCGAGAATCTTGATCTCAATTGAACGCCTGGAAACCTCAAGAACAAAAACAGAGAAACATCTGCCTAAGCAAAATCTGTCGGAGGTCCTCGCGGATAGCATGGATCGGCGCTTGACCCCCCTCCCTGGCGCCAGGAGCGCGCCAGGGGCGGTGCCAGAGGCGCCGCCATGGGGGTCCAGTGCCCATCCACGAGATCTGCGCGGACCTTCGAACTGGAATCCCTCCTCCTCCTCCTCCTCCTCCTCCTCCTCCTCCTCCTCCTCCTCCTCCTCCATCCTCCTCCTCCTCCTCCTCCCCTCCGTGGCCAGTCTGGCTCAGGACGCCTGCCTCCGGGGCTCTCAGCGCCCCGTGGCACGACTGGCCACTGCGAGTCCCGCGGCAGGCCGGGCCCGCCCCGGCCTGGCGCCCATGGCCTCCCGCCCCTCCCTGCTGCCGGGTGTCCCGTGGCTGGCCCGGCAGCAGCGGTGGGCGGGCAAGGGTCCCTGGCGTCTGGCGGTGCGCGCGGCGGCGGCGACGAGCCCGACTGATACCGCCAGTGTTAGGTCGGGCGTTCTACGAGGAATACGAAATACTGCAAGAAGACTCCCAAAGGGTCAAGCAGTACTCCAAAAAAAGTCCCCGACTATTTTTTTCACCAGTCCCCCTGTAGAGGGACAGGCCCGACTTAACGCAAGTGCTGCAAGCACGACCGAGGCCGCAGGCTGGGCATGCCATGCGTCAACTTCGGGTCCAAGGAGCAGCGCACCCTCTGCCAGCTCTCCAGGTCCGCGCGCTTCGCGGGATGAGTACGGCCAGACCTGGGGCAGAAGAGCATCCCTCAAGAACCTGGGACCCTCCACGGGCCAAATGGAAGAATATTCCCCCAGGATGCACAAGAACAGCCGAACAGCCAACAAGCACGAAGAACATTGGGGTGCCCTCCCAGGGGCGACCTCGACCCCATTCGAGGAACAACACAGCCGTATAAGCATCTCAACGTTTGACGGTCCGCGCGGGTTTTTGGGATCCGCGCTAGAGACCCCCTCCCTGGCGCGCGGAGCGCGCCAGGAGCGGCGACTGAGGCGCCGCCAGGGGGGCCCAGCGCAGAGCCAGCAAAGATCCGCGCTTGACCTCCAAAGGGAGGCCAGTCTACAAGACTCCGTGCTGTGTGCGGAGGCCTCCCAGGCCTGCAGCAGACAGTTGGGCATGCGGAAGTAGTTGCTGGCCTGGTGGCCAACCGCTGTTGTTCGTTGTCTCTGATCAGAGCTCGTCCTCGAGGGAGAGTCGTGGCGCGAGGGCGATGTAGCAAAAGATGAAGACGCTAGCGCAGCCTATCCAGGAATCTGGCGGCGAATTCGATCCGAGGCTGTACAGCAAGCGAGGTCGCTTCCTGAGTTCGCGTGGTGCCCAGCCCACAAGAGTGATGATGATGTCCTCGTCCCCGCCTCTGAGGCTCCAGCCCATCCTCCTTGCGTTTGGTATGTGGGAGATGCTTGGGCAGACTTGTCCTCAAGCTTTGTACTCAGTCTGCAGAAATTCATGATGCTCATGCTTGTGCGAGGCCCATTGGTATGCCTCCTACCTCCCTTAGGCCGTCCAGAGGGCGGAAAAGGCTCGAGCTGTTGGCCGAGAGAGCGACTTTGACTGCGCGCGTCCCTGATCTGCTCCCCCCTCCGCCTCTGCACCTGTTTCACGGACACGACCTCGCTGAACTCTGGCCAGGCCGGCTGTTCTGCAGGGGCTGCCGGCGGTCTGCGTATACGGCCGAGTCTCGGCGCCAGCTCGTGGGAGGCACGGATCGATATTGCGTGCCCTCAGTCCCGACCAGGCTTCAGTCGAGCAGGGACCGACCGTCCCGGCATTCCTATAGGCCTACCACACAATGCTCTTAGGACCCAAGAACGCACGAATAACAAAAACAATGTTCTTCGAACATAGGACCGATGTCTTAAAACAAAGCTCCGCCAGACACGCTCTAAGAACATGTTTGTGCAGACCACAAAAAGTTCTTAGAGCACTCTTTGGTGGGCCTACAGGCGAGCACGACGCTTCGCCACTGCTTGATTCAGGCGTCCCTCCTCGAGGCTTCCGCCGTCGCCGCCAGCCCCGCCCCGCCCCCGGCGGGCGAGCGTGCTTGCGCTGGGTCGTCTGGCGCTCGCGTGGGGCCGGCGGTCGGGGGAGGCTGCCTGTCGTTTGGGGGGCTGGGGGCTCTGGGAGCTGACATCCGCGTGCGCATGGTCACGGGCATCGAGAGCGCAAACGATGACCTGGTCGAGCACGGCCCAGAGCGGCTTGCAGGCCGAGGCCCAGCAGAGGCGGCGGCATTGGCTGCCCACCGACTTCGGTGGCGCTTCCGCATGGGACGCCACCCGCGCGACGAGGACGACTCCGAGATGGACCTCGCCGAGCTCACTGAGCACACACTCCTGCGCAACATCGACAGGGCGCAAGGACGCCGCATGTGGGCGGGCGCGGCGAGCCACCACAACCTCCCGCATGTCGAGAACGGCGCGGCCATCGACCACTGAGTCCGCGGGCTGCGCGCGACTGGCAGGGCCGGGACCGATGCGCAGGCCTGGCTCACCATCCGCCCACTCCTTGCAGGCGGTTCGTGGCCTGTCGCTCGACGGGCACACGTGCAACCTCCGCTTGCGGCATGCAGCCGCTGCCCGTACGGTTGCGCCGAAGATGGCACCAGGCGGCACCTCTAGCGTGGCGCTGCCCCGCCCTGGACGCCGCTCGTCGCCAGCACGCCACGGATCTCGGCATCCGGCGCACCTCATCGACGAGGAGAGGCAGGCGTCCCTGGAGGACCTGGAGCACACCGCCATGTGGGAGGGTGGACTCGTGCCTGACCCCGCAAAGCGTTGCCCGCCATGGAGCTCCACAGTCGACGTCGTGCATTCGGGGCCGCCTCTACATCGCAAGGCGTACCTGGACGGCAGCGCGCCTTCTCCTAGTAACCAGGTCTGTGCCCGCGCGGGTTGGGCTGCGCTGACAATGGTCCACGACCTCGCATCTCATGCGGACGTCCTGGACGCAGTCGTCTTTGGCCTGGTGCCGAGGCCTCCTCCGCAGGAGAGCGAAGCCGCAGAGGTCGTCGCTGCTCGGGGTGCCATATTGCACGCGGACGGCGGCCTCTTGGAGTTGCTGTCGGACTCCCAGCTCCGTGTCGATGGCTTCCACGGCGGCCCCGACAACATCGACTTTCGGGTGCCTTACGCGGCCATTTGGCGGAAGTTCTGGCACGTGGCTTGCGAGTACGGCGTGGCCAACATCACGGTCACCAAGATTCCAGCCCACGCCCCGTGGCGATGCGTCCTCGAAGGACGCATCACAAGTGCCGACCGGCTCGGAAATATTGCGGCGGACCGCCCGGCCAAAGCCGCGGCGCTACGACACCCGCAACTACCACGCCTCCGGGAGCAGGAATACCTTGCGAGGCGTACGGCCGCTGGCATCGCCTACTGGGTGGCCAAGGCGGTGAACATCGGCGAGGCGCTGTTGCGTGCACCTGACGGTTGGGTTGCGCCGCCACTGGAACGGGTGACTTGCGCCCATCCCGAGTGCGGGTGGCGGCATTCTGGACGATGTCTGCTTCGTACGGTGCACTGCGACGGGGACATGTGCGACCGCTACGGAACAGCTACGCAGGTCGGCCCTGCGGTGCTGTGGGCTTGCCCAGCTTGTGCCAGAGCGGCCGGAGCGGCAACGTATCCAGAAGGGCGCGCCGCGCTCCGCGACGACCCTGCAGCGCGCCACGAGCTGCGGCGCATCCGTCGCGAGACCGCAGCTGGCTGGCCGGGCGCTCTCACGGCCAGTCGCGCTCGTCAGTGTGGCATTCCACAGGCAGCCAGTGGAGCCGACGGCCAACAACATCCGTTTCTCGTGACGGTGGCTGCAGTGGCCGCGACCGCCGCCTCGGCAGCTGCGGCAGGCGCGGAGCCAGGCCAAGGGCAAGGGCCGCGTGCACTTCGACGAGCTCTTTCCGACCCCCTGCAAGCTCGAGGGCCCGCGGTGGCGGCCGCAATGGCGCCCAGAGCTGAGGCCCCACCACCACCACCACCGCCACCACTGGACGCCGACAGACCAGCATTGCGGAAGCGTCCCGCTGCTGTGCCGCTTGCGCCCAGAGCTACGCGGCCGCGTGCGACCGTCAACGATGACAACATGCAGGCTGGTAGTGGCGCGCTGGACCCTGTTGCGTCGGCCTCTTCCATCGTCGTCCACGGCACCGCTACTGCAGCGAGTGCAGCATCAAGGGGTCCAGTTGCCGCCGGCCATGCGGCCGAGCTCGTTGACGCTAACCGCCGCGACGACCACGCCCACGGCAATCACGGCGACACGCCGACGTCCACCCAGGAAGGGGGTATCCTGGAGGACTTTCCGTCCTGGTGGAATGTGCAATTAGATCCTTCGCACGTGCTTTACACAGCAGGTGCCAGAAATCCCACCAGCCCTCTGGGCGTAGGTGGTTTAGGGAGTTTCCTCTTCCAACCCCCTTTCTTCCCCTTCGGGGAGGGGTTTACCCCTCCCCCTACCCCCTCCCCTGGACCTGGACGGGAGGTTTCGCTGGTAGTTGGAGCGTCCAAGATGGCCCAAGATGGCTCCAAGAGCGCCTCGGGGAGCCCAAGATGAGCTCCAAGATTGCTCAAGCTAGCCTCAGATGCCTCAAGATGGCTCCGAAGATGCTCTAATAGGCCCGAAGACCGCCCCAAGACGGCTCCAAGAGGCCAACTAGCTTTTCCAGGAGGCCTCCAAGAGGCCAAAATCCTTCAAAAACCGTAGGAAAATCAATGTTTTTTGCTTTCTCGCCTTTTCGCTTCCGATGGCCATTCAAGGCCTCAAGATGGCTCCAAGATGGCCCAAGAGGGCCCCAAGAGGGGCCCAAGATGGCCCTAAGACGGCCCCAAGAGCGCCCAAGAGCGCCCCAAGAGCGCTCCAAGAGGGGCCCAAGAGGCGATTTTAGGCGCTCTAGAGGGGCAGGGCGAATCTGGACCCTCCCTTTCTTTGATCGATCTCCTCCAAGATGGCCCCAAGAGCGCCCCCAAGGCCCCCAAGAGCGCCCCAAGAGGGCCCCAAGAGGCACCCAGGAGGCCCCAAGAGGCCCCCAAGAGGCCCCCAAGAGGCTCCCAAGAGACCCCCAAGAGGCCCCAAGAGGCTCCCCGAGGCACCCAAGACGCTTCAAGAGGCCTCCGGGACCGCCAAGGCGCTCCCAAGACGCCCTAAGAGGCCTTCAGGACGCTCCCAAGAGACATCCGGAAGAGACTCCGAGAGGCATCCAAGAAGCCTCTGGCCATTTTGCTCACCCTTCTCCTCCTCCTCCTCCTGCTCCTCCTCCTCCTCCTCATCCGCCTATTCCTCCTCCTCCCTCCTCCCTCCTCCCGCTCCCCCTCCTCCTCCTTCAGTTCCTCCTCCTCCTCCTCCTCCT